TTTGTTGCCATGTCCGTGAATTCGCTGCCTCCGCTGGCGTTGACGTGGATGACGATCAACGCAAGGCTCACTACGTTCGTGCTATCGCATTAGGGTTCGTTCTGACAGTTGGAAACCTCGCTGCGTTCCTTGCTTCCTTCACGTACATCAAGACGGAAGCACCGGCGTAAGTGCACCTTGAGCAGCAGTCGTGGCACCCTGCTAACAGAAACAGCTACGTCAGGGGACACGCTATCAATCTTGGCTGCCTAACAGGCCTGCTAGCCATTGGATTTATCACGCCCCTCTGGATGCGCTCTGAGAATCACAAGCGCGATCGAGGTGAGCGGGATCACCGACTTGACGAAGCGCGATGGGTCGCTGCTGGGCAGACGAAGGAGCAGTACGAACTGCAGCTTGGATGGCTGCATCCGGGCTACCGATACAAGATCTGAATTGTCTGCACAGAACTGTTCCGGATCGATGGACCCAGGGCTTACGCCATGGTCGTGTGAAGGTGAAAAACGAAAAGTTTGCATGGGATTTTCCGTGGACAAACGGTCGAATTGTAATCAGAAGTAATGGCATGTAGAGGTGTTGTGTAAGCGCCAGGGATAGAGGAAAAAGACCCGAGTATGGGGTTCGAGGACAGCCAATGGACTCATTTTGGCGAATCGCACCTGTCGGTCGTCGAACTGCACTGCCTCACTTCCAGCCCTGGGACAGGGACTGCGAGATTGAAACCGTCGGTATATATTCTTTGGGACAGCGCCGGCTGCCAGAAATCCCCGTTACGCCAAACAATGCTATGTGATACACCAATCGACAAACACGCCTCCGTCACGTCGTTAACCCCCCTCTGCCTGCGAGCTCCGCTTCGCATCGACGCATCCGGCTCAGAAGCGTATCTCGTAAGACCCGGCCCGCGTCATGTACCGCACCCACTTGACGCTCGAGTAGTTGCTCTTCTCAAAGACCTTGAGATAGCGGACCAGCAGGCCGCTGCTCGTGAACATGAGGAGGCTAAAGTTGAGGCTCAAGGGTGGGCGGCTCCAGGCGCGCTGGTTGGTCATGCTCGACAGCGAGGCCTCGGCGCTGAGGACAAACTCGCTCTGGCCGGCGAAGCGGCCGATCTTCCAGACGATGACGTTATCCGAGGGCTCGTAGCGGGCCTTGCCCTGGGTGCAGCGCTCGGTGATCTTGGCCGTGTTGAGCGGGGTCGGGATGCGGACGACGACGTTTGTGGCGAAGAGCTTGGAGCCAAAGTTGGCCTTGATGGAGATGCTGTACTCGACCTTTGTGCGGCCGACCTCGTTGACAATGGCGTGGACCTTGAAGGGCAGGTTGACGTTTTCGGTGGCGCGGTAGCGCATGAGCTCAAACTCGCCGTCGGGCGGCACAAACGAGATGATGCGGTCGCTGTCGAACTTGCCGAGCTTGACGCACTGGTGGAACTGGCAGTCCTCGAGCGTGACGCTGCCGGCGGCGGCCTTGGTGGCCTTGGTTCCCTGGCGGTTGCCCGAGGGCAGCGACAGCAGGCCGTCATTGTCGAGGAGCAGGCGATCGTTGAGGCCGAACTTGCACTCGGGCGTGCCGGAGAGGTAGGCGCGCATGACGATCTGGCCCGTGACGTCGGCGCGCAGCACGGCGCCCGTTGCCGACATGAGGAGGTTGACGTCCTCGATGACGTCGACAAAGGCCTCGTTCTTGCGGTACTTGACGTCGGCCTTGCGCCACGAGAGCGCGCCCGTCGCCTGCATGGTGATCTTGGCCGAGTCCTCGGCCGCGCGCTCCGACTTGACGCCCTCGGGGGTGATGTACATTTTTCAGCGTGTCCGTCTCGGTGTTCTGCGGGTAGCCAAAGTCGATGATTTCTATGTGCGCGAACCGTCATTCTCGTCAGTCCGGATTTCTTTCATCTTTTTTCTTTTTTCTCCGTGGACGAATTGCAGAATGAGGTCTAACCTGTCTAGAAAGCTCCGTAGAATATCACAAAGTTGTTTCTTTGACAGTCCTCCCTTCGTCAACTTGGC